TTTTTGTTTTTGCTTTTTTTTTTTTTTTTAAATAACTATTGGAGAGATCCCCTGAACTGAGTGCCATTTCCAAGTGGCTGACATTTGTAGTTGAGTGAAATGTCTTGACAGCTGTTGGACGAATTGCTTTTATATTTGGTACAAATATTCATGTCATCTATGAGTAAATGACTTTTCTTTTAGGGGTTTAATCAGGTCACAATTTTAATTTGTCCAGTACTTTGGTGTAGTTTGTGTGTTTAGTGCAAATGAGTAAATAGCTCATGCCAAGATGGTGACCATGGTAAACATTATTCCTGTTAAATGATAATTGATGATTAAACTCTTACTTATTTACTCTTACCTATTTAGGGGTGGCTGCTCACATACAGTACTTAACCTCTGCTGCACTGTTTGTTGTACACTAAGCCCAGTAATATTCCTGTGCAAATGTAGGTCAGTATTATTCAGCTAATTTGTAGCCAACTTTTCTTTTTTTATGTGGAATTGTTTCAAGAAGCACATGTGTTTACTCATAACCATCAGCCCTCTCACAATTTTTTGCTCCACTTGCCCTCAGTCTTGGTGTTGTTTATCAGCATCTACTGAATGTCATTTTCTTTGAGACCACAACATACATGGCTTTATTTGTGCCACTTCCCTTCACCACTGTGTCTTTGAATTTGACAGGAACTAATGGAGGAATGGATCCAGCTGGAGAAATGCACTGAAAATCCAGCTTTCAGCTATTATCACCCCTCTGTGTCCCTCCCCTTGTCCCTTGCTTCCACTTTTCTCTTTTCTGCCTCTTGTCTTTCTTTTTAACAGATGTCCCTTCTCAGTGAGGGTTTTAAGGTCTGTAGCTGAAGTAATATGCTTTGGCAGAGCCAGGATTTGGTTTGTGTAAAGCCTTAGAGAGCTAAATGTCAATCAGGACTGTTTTTCTTCCCAGTCCAGACACTTGAGGAATTTTGAGGGAGGGTGAGATACTCAGTGAAGGCGGATAGTAGGAGAAAACAGCATGGTGATGGTGGATAGAAAACCTGAGCATACAAAATACTGCATAGATACAGAATATTTCCTATTTTACCAGCCACACAGTATTGGCTTATGATCAGAACTTCATCAGCATGCAGGTGCCACTGCACTCTAGAACATTATAGTCTTTTGGGAACACTCAAACATTGAATATTATAAAAATCTACAGCATGAAACATGACAGTATTGCTCCATTGTACAATTTAATATTTTGTTTCTAAGTATTGACGAAACACCTGTGATAAAATGAAGTTGTTTGAACTTAGTATTCCATCATCCTCTACACAATAACTAGGTAGTGAACTAGGATGCACTACTATACCTCCCAAATGGTCTGGGGTCTTGACAAGACTGCCAAAGGAACTTTGGGGTGCAGGCTATTTGCTGCTGATGCCAAAGTAATCCTGACCTGGAAAAGTGACCATGTCAGGGAAGGATAGAGTGAAAAAGTTTTCATATGATATTGTTATTAAAATTATGAATTCTATAACCACAAATACAATGCACATGCAAGAATGTGTTACAGATAAAGTTGTAATAAGCAAATGTTCTTTTAAGAGCTGTTTTAAGACAGTATAGAAATATCAACTTAAGAATTATATTAACCTAATCCCTGCTTTTTCTTTTTTGTCTGTTTTGCAGTCGCCTGGATGCGAACCATATAGCCACAGTTCCAGATGACAGTTTTGAAGGCCTTCAGCAGCTGCGCCACCTCTGGTTGGATGATAACAACCTGACGGAGGTCCCCATAGGTTCTCTGAGACACCAGGCGAACCTCCAGGCTCTGACTTTGGCTCTCAATCGCATCTCATACATACCAGACAACGCCTTTGCAAACCTCACCAGTCTAGTTGTGCTGTAAGTTACATTACGCTTCAGTAATTGCGGTTTACAATGAAAATACAAATTAATGAAGGACAAAGGTTTACAGAATGTTTACTTCACAAATACTTCTGGGCAGTTGGGCCTTTGCCACAGCTTTCAGGGTGGATTTAAAAAAAAAAGGCCAGAGACACCAAACCATCCAGTGCACTCATATATTGTTAATAATGTTAATATCAGCCTGAGTCAAAAAGAGACAAACAACCAAACAAAAACCCAAGAAGAACAAAATCTGTAAATGGATAAGTAATGAAATGAGAAGCGAATGTCAGGAAACCATCACTCACTGGATTAATTCCTTCAAAAACACTTGCGTACCATGACATTTAATCTGTCGAGGCTTGTGGTGAGAAGTCTGCAGTATTTGAGTAATACACGGTTTTGCAGTCATTAAAGTGAGCTTCCCAGGACAGCCACCATACAATAAATAACTCAACAGGAACAACCTGCTGGTGTACTTTTTTTAAAAACCTTAATTAGCCAGGTACACTGACTGAGAGCATTCTTTTGTTTACTAAAATGACCCGAGGGAACAGCTGAATGAAGTCAAAGTCACTGGATGTTAGGTTGATCAGAAAAATCCTCAAGCTGATTCCAAATACAAACATACTATAGTATACTTTATATTGCCTAGTAGTATAGGCGTACTATACTAGGCATACTATAGTATACTCTATATTGTTAATAAGTCAGTAAAATCAGTTACTACTTATGCCCAGTTGTTTTGTTTTTTTTTGCCTGCAAGCATTTTTGACAGTGAAATGTGCTGTTGGGCTTTGAATATGAATGTTAATGACACTGTAAAAAAGTAAATCAAGATTATCTTTTTATTTTATGCATGATGGGAAATGTTAAAACCTTCCACCAGAAATATGTGGTGCGTTACAAATCTGAGGATTTGTGCCAAACTTAGATTTTTCACTGCTGCTGTTATACATTCACACAAACACAAACTGAGTGGTAATGCTGCAGGGTTGGCTTTAGGGCCGTCACTTTTTATTTGACTTTTGAACATTCATTCAGCGCAACAGGCAGTTTAATGTAATTTGCCTTGTGGTACAGCAGAGGATGGTCTTAAAATTCACTTGATCAGCTTGAAAATCCTACTTGTCCTGTTGACCTCTCAGTAAAGTAAAAACTAGCAACATTGTGTTTGCTGGGACAAACTGCAGGATAGTAGCAAGCAAAGTTGTGCTGATTGGACAATAAGGACACCAGAACAGTTTCAAGGTGAAACAGTTTGCCGACTCTGCAAAAAAAGGCAGTTGCCTTACTCAAGTACAATAACACATCTGAGGATTCACCTGCATCTCGCTACTCAAGTGAGGCACCAAAATTAGTGTTACCAGAGATGAGTGGTACAGCCTCACCTGATTGTCCTACCCCTGCAACATGTCTTAGCTAAGTTTTCCTGATGCAGCACATGAATCAGCCAAAGCAGCGAGAGGTACTGACTAAAATGTGTATATATATGTGTGTGTGCGTGTGTGCGTATATAATTATTATTTTATTTTAATATGACAGTTAAACAGGAACCTATTAGGCATGGAAAAAGCCTTTTCCATTTACACATACAGCACAGACACCTGATTTCACAGATCACAAGACTGGATTTAAAACCCATGGTGAATGTGAGAGATTATTTTATATCTGTCATGGTATGAAGAACTCGCAGATGTATGTAAAACTGCTTTGCTTTTTCAGGCATCTTCATAACAACAGAATTAAAGAGATAGGGGACAACTGTTTTGCTGGACTCTTGAACCTGGAGACCCTGTAAGTGCATAGTCGTACAGTAGTTGATGGGTGTGTGTTTCAGTTAGTGTGTTTGTGCTCGTGTTTGTGTGTGCTAACAGCTCCTCCTCCCACCTCTGCTCCAGTCCTCCAGACATCATTGTGTCCACTTCCTACTTTAATTTCTCTAGGATAAATAGAGTAAAGCACATAATTCTTATTAAATCTGCCCTCCTACTGTTCATTTCCTCCTGCTACACGGCCATGAATAAACTTTTAGTGACAGCGTGAACAACACATACCTTTACAGGTGACTGGGAATGTCCTGGTACTATATTTGTTTTTTGTCCAAAATCTCAATCTGAAACTGTGTATCTGCAGGTACTCAGGCTAATTCATTTTAACTATACTTTAATGCTTTAGCTTTCTGCCATTTATCATGCAAAGCCAGAGAGAGAGAGAGAGAGAGAGAGAGAGAGAGAAGATAACTCAGCAGTCCTGTTAACTGTGATTAATTGTAGACATTTTTGTTTGAATGTACCACTGGTAAGTAGCTTTAGAGTGGATGGATTTGTTGCACCATAATTCAAGAAAACAGCACTGACATCCAGTCTCTTCTCCATCTCATGCTAGAGATCTTAACTTCAACAGCCTGATGGTTTTTCCCAAAGCAATAGAGGCCCTGCCCAAACTGAAGGAACTGTGAGTAAAATGTCCTGTTTCGCCTGCATGAGGGAAATGTTGTGTGCTGACACTTAAGTCTAGTTTAAAGTTAGCTAGTTTTCTGCAGCAGACTTGGAGTGTTAACACTTGATTTGGTTGAGCTATTTGAGCCTTTTGTTACTTTTGTTTTTGTGTGTATGTATTACCTGACTTGGATTTCAGGTTTCGTATTGAACACTTTCTCCTTTAGAGAGTTAATCATTCAGCCTGCTAGCTAGTCATATGTTTTGACTTCTTCTTGCAGTGGGTTTCACAGCAATGATATTGCTTCCATACCTGAAGGGGCCTTCCATAACAACCCTCTGCTGCAAACCATGTAAGGTCAAACCCCTCTCTGATTTACTGACACAACTTAGAAACACACATTACCCCAATAAGTCAGATTTGTTCAAATGCCACCAATCAAAATGTACAATATGCTTTCTGATGAGCACACATACAGTATGATCTGATATGGGATAGGAGTTTAATGTTTCAGTAGATGAATGTCCAGAAGATGGTGCCATTCTTGCACAGTAAATGATTTTGGTTTGAACTCTCCCC